CATTTGTGTATTTTACTAATATTATTATTTTATTCCTATTTTAGTATCATTATTATTTTAAGTTTTACTTCAATTCTTAAACTGTTCTTCTCTCACCCTACGAGTCTCCTTACCTGCCCCCCAATTCTCTCCCATGTCCCCTGGGGCGGGGGCAGAGAGTGAGTGACTGTCTGGCTGCAGCCCAGTGCTGGCCCAGTGGAACCACCACACAGTGTCTTGATACTGGGAGGATCTCCAGTGTGCAAGGTGACAGCTGTCTCTTTAGTATCACAGTTTCAGCTCCAACTAGAATTTAGATAAGTACTTTATTTAGTTTTACCTGTATTCAACTGTTGTGAATGTTTGATCTTGATATTCCAGCCTCTGCTGCTGCCCTGTCTGCTGAGCCAGACAAAGTCTGCAAGGCAAAAACTGGAAGGATTTGTAGGTGCTGAGGGTCTGTCTCCCCTTTCACAAGCCACGTGTTTCTTTTATCAGCATGAAGTGAGTGCAAAACTCAGTCGCTTGGAAAGTCCCTTCCTGGAGCGTAGGTGTTTTTTTTAGAGATGCAAATAAGGAGAATTACGCTCTTGGTCTTCAGGGTTTTAAGATTTAAGCTGCTCCAAATAATTTGTCACTGATACTTGAGACTGGTGAAGAACTGAATTCTTTAAAAGATTGTCTAAGACTAAACTTTAATTTACAAAACATGCCTAAGCTAAAGCCTGTTGATGTTCAGGAAATGCCATTTCTTCAGCTTTTCACTACCTGGAAGTTTAAATGCCCTCTGTGTTCAGCCAGCCAGGAAAAAAATTCCCATTTCTATCCTGATAAAAGTTTCAGTGTTATCAAGGAATAGTTACTGCTGGTGATCCATAGAAAGTGTTGTTACACATATAGGTATTGTATAATAATAGGTGATAAATAATGGAATAAATGACCTTTACCCCTGGGACTTGTGTGTTACAGCGCCGTTGTGTGATCACAGGTTATCTCAGATGGGCTTGTAGAGCTGAGGCTGCTCAGGGGGTTGAGAAGGGGAACAGAATTTTTGTGGACTCAGCCTGATCTTGTGACACGCTTTTTGTGCTTTCTGTTGCATTCAGAAGACACTTGGGAGGAAGAGCTTTTGCAACAGCAGCCTGTTGAGCTTCCTGGAACACCTGGGTCTGAGTATACTCCCTTCAAACCAAATACAACCTGTTCTCTGTTAAGCAACTTTTCCCCCTAAAATTATAAAGGCAAGTTGAAAATTTCCACTTGGTGTTGGGAGTATTGCCTCTCCTAAGAACTGGTGAAGGAATTCCCTTGCTTTGGCAAGGAGCTTAACACAGGAAAGGGACAGGTCAGGACACCTCAGGGTCTGTTTCTGTTTCAGCTGAGCATCACTTTTGTTTCATACTGGTGTTTTTCTTTCTTTCCTTCCTCCCCTGCATGCACCAGGTACATCCAGTGTTGCTGTGTCCCATCTTTGAGTTTGGAGTGGAGTTGGCAGAGAAGTTTAATCATTTCCAGGGAGCAGGAGCTGAAGACTGCAGTAGTTTTCAGAGGTTATAGCCAGGTGGGAAGTGATCTGAGGTAGGAGCTGTGTCTGTTATTGTGCTGGAGCAATCTGAAAGCGCTCAGCAATAACAACTGCGTTGACTCTGGGAGGTTAAACATGCCCAGGACTATTTGCTGGCACCCAGGCCAGCTGGCAGAGGGTGACACATGCCATAACACAAAACTTATCTTCCAAGCAGGGCAGCTGCGTAGCAGGAATTGAACCACAAATCAGCAGCGATTCCTGAGCTGACTCCCAAACCCTGCCTGGGAGCTGTTTGTACGAGCGTGAGTTGGCCAATACTCTGCTGGGAACTATGTGAACAATTTGCAGAATAAATGAGCACTTTCCAGTTCAGGGAAACATTTTTTTGGCACTATTTTATTTACTGTTGTAGACTTAGAGTGAGTGTCAGACAAATCTTGAGCAGGAAGAAGGATTTAAAAATATGCTGTGAGTTTTGCTGATAAGCTGCAATGTGACCTGAGCCCGGCTGGATGTGTCCATGCTCCCTCCTGGCAAACGAGTTTACCCCAGTGTCTCTAGCAGCAAAACCAGTGTCCCCACCTCAAGTGGTTTAAGAGAGGCAGACTGAGTTCAAAGAAATAAATAGACATAAATTTTATTCAGCATCTGCTCTTTCAGCACAGTGTCTTCTTTCTTTACCAACCTTGATTGATCAGAGGGTTGTGCACACTCACAATATGCCACATGTCCACCCTCCGGGCATTAAAGGGAGGGCATTAAAGATTGCACCGGTCTGGTGAGTAAGCAAGCATGATGATATCAAGCTGCTTTTCAAGGTTCAGATCAACCCAACTCAAGAAACCCTTAAAACTTGCTGATCAGGAACAACATCAGTCACTCGGGTTTAGGAAACAAGCACAGAGCTGTCAGGAGGAGTCACAGCAGGAAGGGAAAGATGTGAGAGGAGTGTGGGGGCAGGTTATACCCCTGGGCTTGTTTTCTTTCTTTCCAGTGTCTCCAGCCACCACCTGTAGCTCTGAAGCTGCTGCTGGAGAGCGGGAGAGAGACGTTAGTGCCAGAAAAGTGCCTGGTTGTTCCTGCTCCCCT